ATTATTAATATTATTAGTACAGTATTTAAAAATTACAAACAAAAAAAATCTATTTTTAAAAACTATGTTATAATTTATTGCGGAAATAATTGATTTGCTAATAATATTTAATAATAATAATAATAATAATAGGAAACAATAATACATCAAAAATAAAATCATTGTGTTGTCTATAAAAAAAATATAAATTTATATCATTTAATAAAACAATTTTTTTATATATATTTAATTCACAGTACATGTATCACAATAATTATATTAATTTATATTTTTTGAACAAATAAAAAAAACTAATAAAAACTAAATTTTTTTTTGTAGCTTATTGTTTGTAAAAATTTATTTTGCAATACATTTATTTTGGCTTTTAATTAAGGAAAATAATTTTAATTAAGTTTACTATATTGTAAAAACAATGATAACATTATTTTTATTATAGACTAATTTTATTTTTATATATTTAAAAAAAAAATCAATTTATCTATAATACTGTACTGTAATAACAATACTTTATATATAACTTAGGAGTTAATCATATATTTTTTTTTTTTGAAAAAAATATTATATAAATATATTGTTTTAATAAAACCGTAAAATTTTGGTGTTAACTCTGTATTAAAACTAATGATTTGATAAACTATTTTGTATTGTTTTTATTTATTTCAATATTAATACTAATAATAATAATAACTATGAAATACTAACCAACAACAAAAAAAAATTGGATAAAATACATGTGTTTTTTAAAAAATAAATAATTGCTTGTTTTTTATGTACACTATATTAGACACAAACAAAAAAATAAAGTTATGTCACAACAAGTTTATGTGACTTAACAACTAAATAATAATAATAATAATAATAATATTATTATTAACTATAATACAGTAAATACCGGTAAAAATAAAATAAAACAACAATTATTTTGTTGTATTTATTATATAATATAATAATAATAATAATAATAATAGCATTAATGCTACATTAAATAATTGGCTATAAATAAAACAACTATTATATAATATATATATATAATAAAAAAATAGTAATAGTTTTTATTTTTATTTTTTGACGATTCATAAACACATTAAAAAAACAATTTTTATTTTTACTTAAAACAATGGGATATCCAACCAACAAAAATAAAATAAAATGTGTTTAACTAACCTATATATTGTAGAAATGTAATAATAATAATAATATTTTTTACTATAATGAATCTGAAAAAATAATTATTTTTAATTAACAAGAAAATAAAAATTACAAATAATTTTATTTATTTATTTTTTGAAAAATTAAGTCAAAAAAATCAAATTAAAAAAGTTTATATGTAATTATAATTTTATAATTATTTGCAATATTATTATTATTATTAAATATATGTAGCATTTAAAAATGTTCAAGGAAATTTTTTTGTATGTAATGTAACTAAATTAGCCTCAATAATACTAATATATATTAAATATAATATAATATATATATATATATTGATAAAATATTGACAATTTATTGCTATTGTTATATTAAACAATTGATTACTACTTAAAGTCATCAATCAATTGCTTGTTATAAACATTTTTATATTTATTTATTTTTTTTTCTATTTCTAACTTTTTATTTGTTGTTTGTAATCATTGATTGTAATATTTCTATATAAACATAATGTTTGTTAACTTTTTTTTTATAAAAAATAAAATAAATACATAAAAGTAAAATCATGTAAAATCAATATAAAAAAACTTTCCGGGAATTTATTTTATAGAGAATTTCCCCTTTAATTATTATTATTTTTTTATTTTTTTAAAAAGTCCATGGTAACAAAAAATAAATTTTATTTACTAATTATATGTTTTAATTTTAAAAAAATATTATTAAATATTTACAAACAATTAATTAAAATTACTTCAATATTATTTTTTGAAAAACTTGATATGAAATCAAAATTTTGAATTTAAATAAAATAATAATAATAAAAAAAATTATTTACTAATTAAAATTTTCTACTAATTAAGACTAAAATTAAACTTTTAAAAAAAATATTATTATTATTATTATTATAATTACTATTAATGTAAATAAATTTTAATATAAATTATTTAAAATACTTGAAATTTGCAAAAAAAATAAATAAATAAAATAATTTCATTTGCTTTTGAATTGAATTTATTTATTACTATATATTAAGTACTGTTAGCTAAAAAAAATTGTATACAAATTTAATTAATGTTTTATATATATATATATATATATATATATATATATATATTTAATTAAAATAATAATATTTATAGTAAATTATTTAATGCATTTTCGCTAAATAATTAAAAAAATCTAATAATAAATAGTACTTTTTATATATATATTTAACTTTATTATTAGACAACAAAATTGCATATAAAATATAATATACAGTAGTATATCCATATATAGTACAGTATTTATATATATATATATATATATATAAAACTAATTTAATATTAACATTAATAATATTAACTTATATGTATTGAACCAATGTGTAGAGGTATATACAAAAATGTTGAATAAATTATTATTATTATTATTATTATTATTATTATTACATAACATTAATTTAATAATTACACTAAAATATTTGTTGACTATTAAAAAAAAGGTGAATATAATTTGTATGTATTATTATTATTTTTTTAGTGTATGTAAATAAATAAAATTAATTTAAGGTTAGTTTTATATGAGATTATTATTATTATTATTATTATTATTAGTACACCACACGGTGTAATTAAATTAAATATTTATATTAATATCTACTAAAAGTTTTTATAATAATAATAATAATAATAAAACTTTTATTTAGTACTATTATATATACACACATATAAAAAAAATCTAATATGAATAATTTATTTTAGTTATATTATTTAATTAATTAAAAAATATTTATACAACAAAAACAACAACATTAAACCAATGTTTATTTTATTTATTTTTTTTAAAAATAATTATTAATTAGTTAGAAATATTTTTCACAAAATCTTATTTTTACAAAAAAATAAAATAAATAAATAAATAAAATAATAATTATTTGCTATTTTAATCCTAATTTCTACTAAACAATAGTTTCTATAATAAAAATTTAAAAATCTTTTAGTTATTTAAAGAAAAAAATATTTAATTCATATTTTAATACATATTTTCAAAACTTAAATCTACAATAATTGTTAGCAAAATAAATATTATTATTAATTAATTATTATAAAAAAAATGTTAATTACTATATAATATATTATTTATTATATTCTGAAATATCATAGCAATTAATATATATAACATAAAATTAATTTTTACATATAATTTATTAATTTTTATTATAGTAATTGCTTTATATTAGTTTATTATGTATTATAAGTTATATAAAATTATTTATTTTTTTTGGGATTTATTTATCCATTAAACTATTACAGTAATGGTTATCTATTGATAAAATTATTGTATATATATTTATTAATATACAGTATGTACTGTGTATTATGATATAATTTATTGAAGTATTTGGTTAAAAACAAAATTTTTCAAAAAAATAAAATATTTACACACTCTGTATATAATATTAGATGCGATAAATAAAATGATTAAATACTGTTATATATACAAGTAGTCTCTCTCTCTCTCTCTCTCTCTCTCTCTCTCTCTCTCTCTCTCTCTCTCTCTATGTGTGTGTGTGTGTTAAGTGTCATACATATACACACAATAAATAAATATTGTTATCAATCTTAATATTATAGGCTGTTATTAATCTGTATATATATATAATATAATATAATATATAATGTATATATTATAGATGAAAACAAATATCTATACATATTTTAAATATAAAACCAAAATTATTTTGTTTATCAGCCAATATATACTGTATATATTATAAGTATATGAATATCATATTATTATATATACATTATATATATATATATATATATATTTGATAACAACTTTCAAATACCATAATCAACAACAACAACAACATGGGTTCATATTTCAATATACTTTATAGATATATATACATATAAATTATATATAATATGTATATCATATTTACAATATAAATATAATATTTTTTTGGTTATAACTTATAATATATATTTAGTATTTATTTATTAATAATCAATGGTGTTAATAAATAATACAGTATATCATCAGTTAGTCAATCAAGTGTTAAGTTATAGTATTTTTTTAAACATTAAGTTAACATATCATAAGTTATTATAGTTTTTTGTGTGACTATTATTTATAATATTAATAATAATAAAAAATTATATATTAATTCAATTCAATTACAAGACAATACAAAATAATAATATTTAATCTCATTATATATATATACATATATAACTTATTATTCAATAACAAATTTATTTTAGTAATTTTAGTTTATTGCCTCTTCAAATATAATCAATAATAATAATAATAATAAAGCTAAAAGTTTTATGATTATTATAAATTAAAAACTGTAGAGATTTAACACATGGCAACCAAATAAAAATTATTTATTAATATTAATAATAACTTTAATTAATAAATATATAATTTATTATTTAGACAGTCATATCAACAACAAAATAAACTATACTTTTAAAATGATAATATCATTGTGAATGACATTATAATAAACATTATTATAATATTATATATTAAATACTAAAAAACTTATATAATATATATATATATGTATATATATAAACATATATATGTACTCTACTATATATATATATATATATATATATATAACTTTATATTTATCTATCTATACAGTAGAGTACTGTTATATTTAAGATAATATTAATTAATATATATATATATATCAATTAAAATTTATGTGAAAATAACAAAAATAAATAATTATTTTTTAGAAGAAAAAAATAATCTCAAAATTACAGTAATCAACATTTATTTTTTTTTTGATTTATTGATTATAAAATTATATATATTTATAATTAAAAAAAAAATTAAAAAAAATTTACCCAAAAGTGTGAAATGGCGTTCACGTGAAACGTCCGCAATATATGATCGTCGGGTGTCTCCAGAAATCGTTTCCCACTAACAATGCCGGCATTGTTGACCAAAATGGTTACCTTACCGACCGATTCGCGTACCTGTTTGGCCGTTTCGTATACCTGTGCCCTATCGGATACATCGCATACATAGCTGTAGGCACTTTTGATTTTGATATCATTGTTATCGGCGGTGACACCGACATGTTTTTCGCCATCAATCAGCCTCAGGGTCTCATCCAATCCCTGTTTATTAATATCCCAGACGACTACCCGAGCACCGCGTCGGGCAAATCTCAAGGCCAATAGCCTACCCAAACCGCTACCGCCGCCAGTAATCAATACAATGTCGTCCGTAACCGACTTATACCGGAGCCGTTTGGGTACAAAAAACAGGACAATCCCTTCCAACCAGTAGTACAACAATAGGCTGATGTCGTAAACTATTTGCAACATTGAGTTCATTATTATTATTATAGTTATTATGATTATTGTCGATAGGATTTTATTATTATTATTATTAGTTAAAAATTATTATTATTATAAGGTATTCACTAATAATATTTGTGTCACAAAAAAATGTATAAAAAATACTGTAATTATTGTAAATTATAATTTTTCTTAATAATTATTATATATATATATTATATATATATATATGTAAAATACAACTGTTTTTATATGAATTATGTGATAAAAAAATTGATTAAATATCACATCAAATAAACAGCAAAAAAAAGTTTCAATAAGTTATTATTATAAACACACGTAAAAAAAACTTGTGATAAAAAAATATAATAATAATAATTGTTTTATAAGTTTGTTTATTTAGTTATTATTATTATTATTACTTAAAATAGTTTATTTGTTTTTAAAACCATTATACAAAAAAAATTATAATTTATATTTAAATAAAACAACAAAACAATTATTAAATTACAAAATAATTTTGCAAAATAACAAACACTATACAACCAAAAACACTTGACTTTTATATATCAATAATTTATTTTTTTTTTTGAAAAATATTTATTGCAACACAACTACACACACAACAATATAGTTGTATAATAATAATAATAATAATAATAATAATTCAGATAATCATTACTATATACAGGTATATACTATAATGACAACTGAATACAACTAAACAAAAACAAAACAATATATATAATAAAAAAGTTTTTTTTTATATATATATATTATGCTAACCTCTCATAAACGTAATGCCAGCTCATATACCTCACTACTACTACTACTACCAGTCAAATAGGTAAAAGACACTGTAGTTTATATTATTATTATTATTATTATTATATATATACACTGATCACATAAACATAACACATACAGTATATACACACACAGTCACTGACAAACACATACAAACATACTGTACATACATATAGACAAACCACATGCAAACTGATAGGCAATAAACAAGTCTTTCTCTATATCAGTGCTCAAAAACTAACAGTTCCTCTCTTTCTTTCTCTCTCTCTCTCTCTCTCTCTCTCTCTCTCTCTCTCTCTCTCTCTCTCTCTCTCTCTCTCTATCTGAACATACATATGCTGGTAGAGAATGGTATGCGCCTACTATAGCACATACAAGTGCCTCGAAAACCATACTCTCTCTCTCCCCTCCTCCTCCTCCTCCCCGACTAAACAAGTGGTAAAAAAAGCTACATTTCCTCCCTGAGCTATTTGCTTCCCTATCACACACACACACACACACACACACACACACTTGTTCCCATAGTTTACAGTTATTGCACCGGTAGTTTTTTTATGTATATGTTTTTTTGTTGTTTTGTTTTGTTTACTAGTTTGTAATCTAGTTGTGTGTGTGTGTGTGTGTGTATGTGTATGTATGTGTGTGTGTATGTGTGTATGTGTGTATGTATGTGTGTGTATGTGTGTGTATGTGTGTGTATGTGTGTGTATGTGTGTGTATGTGTGTGTATGTGTGTGTATGTGTGTGTGTGTGTGTATGTGTGTGTGTGTGTRTGTGTGTGTATGTGTGTGTGTATTTATGTCTGTGTGTGTGTGTGTGTGTGTGTGTGTGTGATATTACTAGGAGTTACCATATAAATACATATATATAATTGTTTGTGTTTTTATATTTTTATATAATAGTATTTATTGATTTATTATTAATCATAAATATATTTAAAAAATAATATTATTATTTTTAGAAAATAATAACTTATTTTTTTAATAATATAAATTATTGGAAAACTTATTCATATAATAGTTTTAAATAGCTTGAAATAATAATTTCCTACCTATAATTATAATTATATCCTTGATAAAATAACAAAAAAAAATATATTTATATGTTGTTTATTCAAATATTTGTATGCAAATATTTTTATTGTTATTATTATTATTATTGAATGTCAAACTATATAAAAAATTATTATTATTAAATTTTTTATTATTATTATAATTTACTATAATTAAATATGTTTGCAAAATTGACATTGATTGAAATAAATGTATATATATAATAAATATATAAAAAAAAATTATTATTATTATGATTAAATAATAAAATATAAAAAAAATTATTTTCATCATCATTAACAAATGTGTTTTGTTAAAATTTATTTTTTTTAATAGACATTAAATTAAAATTAAATTATAATATAAATTTACAATAATATTTTTCATTTTAGTATTTCAATGTCAATAAATAAATGATAATATTTTTTAAATAAATTATTTTTTGATATTTATATTGATAAAACAAAAATTATAATTTTATTTTAAAATTAAAATTATATACAATTAGTTATATTATTCAATAGTAGTTTATTAGTAATTAAAAAGTTGCAGTTTATTTAATTAAATATTTAATTAAATATATATATAATTTAGCTAGATAAATTATTATTATGTAATGTTTGTAAACTATTAATTGTTTTATATTTATGTAAATAAAATTATCATTATATATAGACTTAACAAATTAATTTTTCTATAGATAATAATTTTTTATCTAGATAATTTTATTTATAATTAAAGATTCATATAGTATACTCATATAATATTAATTGAAAATAATTCAATACATAAAATTTATAACAAAATTTTAAATTTTAAAACAAAATTTATATAGCTATATAATTACAGATATAAATATTTTTATTGTTGTACCAAGCTTATTTATTTATTTATTTTGTTTCAAGCTAACTGTTTTTTTAGTAGAATATTTTATTTATTTTTATACTAATATTTACTTATAAATATATTGTGACATCTATTAGTAGACATTTAAATTAGATACTAATAAAATAATACAATATTAAATAGTAATACAAATAACCTTGGATAATTTAACTATTATAATTAATTTTTTAAATAAAATATTACATAAAATTCAATAGAGTATAAATTATTGATTATTATTTAGAGTAATAGGAAAAATATTTTTTTGAAAATACTAATTAAATTTACATTTTTAAAAAAATAATATAATATATTAACTATTAATAAACTTTTTTAAATATAAAGTTTTTTAAACAAATAGAAAAAATGTTTTACTAATAATTTTTAATAAATTATTTAAGATAATTGAATATAAAAAATAGATTAGAAAAACGGGTAATAGTTTTAAAAAAAAATTATTTTAAAATAATAAAAATATAAAACTAAACTTAACTTCAAATATGATTACATGAAAAAAGTATTTTAATAAATAAATAGATAAATTATTAATTTTTAAAAAATGTGATTTAATTTTTTATTTGAGTATTAATTTTTGGTTTTGAAAAAAAACTAATCTATATTTCAACAAAAAATTTATAATTATGAAATGTTATCGACAGTGTATCGTAATTCAAAAAATAATAATAAATAGGTGATAAAACTATCCAAGGTCATATACGCCATTATTAATAATAATATACATGTATATATATATATATAAATAAAAATATATAAAAATACAAGTAGTTTAGTGTATATATAAAAAATTAGACAATGTTTTTATCATTTACTAAAAATAATTGTTTGTTATATATATATTAATGAATATATTTTTTACTAAAAAAATAAATAAATTTTATTTAATTGTTTTTTTTACTGTAAATTAATTAATTTATTTTAAGTGCTAATTAATATCATAATATTAATTAAATTATATATATATATATATATATATATTTTAAACAAACAAACAAAATATGTATCAAAACTATAGCCGCAATTCATTTGACCGGTTCGGCGATGACCTGTGCGAAGTGATTGTCCAGTATTTGTCATTTGCGGACAAATTTCGCTATGAATGTGTGTCCAAACAGTTTCGTCGGACAGTATTTACTGGACAATCAGTGGTCAACATTGATAAGCGATTTTTTGCTAATCCCAGACCAGTTATAATTGCCGAAAAATTTCGGACAGTTATCTCAAAATTGGAAAATTTGCAAACAATTCATTTTACATATAAGGCACCGATAGTTATCAGTGGTGTATATCAGCAAATGTTTGACATAATTGTCGACCGGTGTCGGCATTTACGGGCCATTTGTATTGACTTTCAATGCGATCTGAGTCGGGATAGTTTGGACCGATTTTTCCGAAAGTTTGGCCAACAATTGAATCGGTTGAACATCAAAAACGTTAACCAATTGCCGGTCGACGACAAGCGCCGCTATTGGCTACAGTGTCCCAATGTTTGGGATATCAATTTTGGCGGTTATACCAGTCTAGCGGCACTGATAGACAGCCAGACCATCGATGACCAACAAGTATTCAAACAACTGAAAACTGTTAGCCTTTATTACGGAACGGATGACCGAAAACGTTGGCAACTGTTTGCCGATCGGTATAGTCTTACCGTACGATCGGTTAACATAACTATCAGCAGCTGTTGTCCGTACGAGTCGTTAAGCGGATTGATGTCCGGTTTGTTGCAGATGTCGGCACTCAATGACCTCCGACTTAACTATCATACCGACGACGACGGCAGCGATGACCAACTGAATCAAGTGTTTATCGATGGTCTGCGGGAAATAGGTTTGAAACCAATTGGCCGACAATTGAAACGATTGTCATTGGATTTGGTCAACAATTTACCCGATTTTTATCCGGAAATATCTGTGATATTAGATAAATATTTTTCGCATATAAAACAACTGGAATTAATTACTTTTTGATATATTTTTAAAATTTTGATTTAAATTTTTACAATTATTATCAACAAAATAATTATAAAAATTAAAAGTTTTTAACTTATTTCAGCTAAATGTCTAACCAATGTTTTAAACCAAATTTTAATTTATAAATTATTAATAATATATAAATAAAATATTTTTCAAATAAACAATAGATAACAAAATAAAAATTAACTCTTAATATACTTATTAAAAACAAAGTTTTATATAATTAAAATTATTTTTAAAAATAAAATTAATTATGCATAACTAAATAGTACTAATTATTACTAAATTAATAGTTATTAATGAAAAAAAATTTTTCACAGTGTAATATGTAGCTAAATGTAAAAATTACTTAATTATTATAAACTATCATTATATTTATACTAAATAATAATTTACAGTTTTTATTAACTTTGTTGTACTGTTTATATAATAATAATAATAATAATAATAATAATTTACTAGTAATTACTGTTAAAAATATTATGTTATTTTATAAAATAAAAAATACTATCAACTAATTAGTACTTTTAAAAAATTTACTATTTATTTAAAATATTATATATTATAATAAAATATTTAAATTGAAAACTACTGTATAATAATTGTTTATACAATGATAATACAGTTTATCAAATTTAAATCAAAAATAAATTACTAATTTATTACTATTAATAAAATTTAACTATTAATTAAACTATTAATTATATATTTATTAATAAAAATTTAAAAAAAATTAATTGATATATAAAATAAGTTATCAAAAAAATACTAACAAAAAAACGTCTTAATAATGAATTTTCAAAAATTATTTCACTTTTAGATAAAATATTTTAAGTTCACATTAGTCATGAAAAACGGGTTAAATGTTTTAATAATTTATTTTTCAAAATATAAAAAAAGTAAACTATAACTAACTTTATAACAAAAAAAAACATATAAATAATACAATTTACAAACAATTATTTATTTCGTATAAAATAATTGTGTAAATAATTAATTAATTATTTTTTCTAATTTTTTTTTAATAATTTTACGGTTTGGTTTCGGATAACTAAAAAAAATAAAAGTAAATAAATATTCATTTAGTTTAAAATTTTGAATTGTTATCGCAATTAAAAAAAAGGTGATAAAACTATCCCAAGGTCATATACGCCATTATATATTAAGTGTATATACCTGTATATAATATATATATATTAATAATTATATAATGTTTTCTCACAATAGAAAATTATATAAAATTAATACAAAAATTTATGTAAATAAAATTATGTTTTCCAAAAAAAAAACAATTACTATTTTAAATAATTATTTAAATAAACAAAATTAATTTTTCAAACAAATAGTTTTTAATTTGCATAAATATTTTATTTTTTTTGATAAATCAAACATTTATGAATTAGAATTTTATGAATTTTCACATAATATGTTTTTGGGAAAATTTATTTTTTTTTCAAAACCATTTTAATAGTAGATTTTTTTATTTGATTGATTTTAAATAGTAAATTACTATAAAAAAATTAATAATCAAAATTTTTAATTATAATAAATTGATTAAAATCATTAATTCAATAATTACAACATTTATTAGATTTTTATTATATAATAATATATATATATATTTATTAAAAATGCAATAAAAAAATTAAATAATTAATTAAAATTTATATAATAATTATAATTATTTTTAAACAAAAAATAATTTCTGTCATTCAATTATACTTACAAATCGGTAGTAATACCAGCGCTGACGACACTGTAATTGCGGTCACGCATCCACTGGTTGTCCATGAATTTTGTCATATAGTTGGCCACACCGTCGGCCAGCAGACAAACACACCGTTGATCGCTATCCAGCTGTTTGGCCACCGACATGGCTGCCGACACCACAGCACCCGATGAACCGCCACACAGTAGACCTTCGGCGGCAATCAATCGACGGGACATTTCCATCGATGACCGATCATCCGATTTGTACCACTGGTCGACCAGTCGACGATCGAGTACGTCGGTAACAAAATCATGACCAATACCTTCAATTTCATAGCCAGTAACCGATGTACGGTTCAATTCGTCGGGTTCGGCAACCATTGAACCATACGGGTCTACACCGACAATCTGACAGTCGGGTAGTACTTGTTTGACACGTCTAGCAATTCCGGTAATTGAACCGCCAGTTCCGACACCGACAACAATCATGTCTAGTCGACGATCGGTTTGGTCGAGTATTTCCCGTGCGGTAGTGTCGTAGTGGGCATTCGGGTTACTAGAGTTACCGTACTGGTCCAATAGTACGGCGTTGTCAATTTGGTCGCAAATTTTTCGGGCCATTTCGAAATGCGATTCAGGCGAATCGTACGGCACTCCCGACGGTGTTCGTACAATACGGGCGCCCAATGCCTGCATAATAGTAGACTTTTCGGCGGACATCCTATCGGGCATACAGACAATCAGTTTATAGCCGCGAACAGCGGCAACCATTGCCAACGCTATACCAGTATTACCACTACTGGGCTCAACAATAGTAGCTCCGGGACGTAGTCGACCATCACGTTCGGCATCTGCGACCATACGGACGGCTATTCGGTCTTTTTGCGAACCGCCCGGATTCATGAATTCACATTTGGCCAACACTTGACACCGGAGTCCATACTCGCGGGGAATGGTATTAAGTTTGACGAGCGGTGTTCGGCCGATAGCGTCCAAAATTGTGTCCAATATTTTCGGTTTAGTGGTGTCCGGGATCGGGTCGACATCGATTAGCAGCTGTCGGTGGTTTGCAGTTGACATTTGTCTAATCATTATTATTATTATTTCTATTGATTAATATATAAATAATAATATATTTAAAAAAAATAATTTTTATTAAATAACAATTAATTTATATATTAAATAATTTTTATTTATTTTTTGAATATCAATGTTTGATATTGACTTTTATATGTGATTTTTTTTCAATGAGAGACATATAATACCAGGATATGAATATTTTTACAATAAATATTTTACAGTATTTTTAAAAAATCAATTAAAATTATTAATTAATTATTAATACTATAATAGTATACTATATATAATCTAAACAATGTACGCAAATTAAGTATTAAATTTTATATTATTTTTTTAAAAAAAAATGTATTACAAAAATAATATTTGCATAATATTTACTTCTAATTATAGAAATAATATTTTAATAATTAATAACTCAATTATATATTCAAAATAGATATTTAAAAAAAAATAATATTATTTTTCAATTTATTTAGAAAATATATGTGATTACCGGTAATATAATTTTGATATTATAAATATTGATTGTTTATATTTTAAAAATAAAATTATTTTTAACTATAATCTATTTTTGAAAAATTTCATAAATTTTTTATATAATACTAATATCCTGATGTATCCTAATATATATATATATATATATATTTCTGAATCAATTATATTAACAACAACAAAAAATAACAAAAACAAAACAAAAATTTCATCAAAAATTAATATTTACTGTATATTATATCAATAATTAAATAACTATTTTTTTTAAAAAAAATGAAATATTAATTTTTATATATACCGGTATATATATATATATATATTTATATCATATTTATAGCTAAATAAACAATATAATAATAATAATTATTATACTAATAATAATAAACTATTATCATTATAAATATATTTTTTATTTATAAATTAATTATTAATAAATACATCATATTTTATTTAAATTACAGTAAATTATTTAGTAATTACTAATTTAGTTAAACAATCAAACAAAACAATTAATTATAAAGAAATTTTTATATATTTAAAACATTGTTATTAATTTCATGATCGCAATCATCAACGATAGTTGCAATGTCGTCGTCGCCGACACTGTAATTGCGGTCACGCATCCACTGGTTGTCCATGAATTTTGTCATATAGTTGGCCACACCGTCGGCCAGCAGACCAACACAACGCTGCCGGTCGTCGAGCTGTTTGGCCACCGACATGGCTGCCGACACCACAGCACCCGATGAACCGCCACACAGTAGACCTTCGGCGGCAATCAATCGACGGGACATTTCCATCGATGACCGATCGTCCGATTTGTACCACTGGTCGACCAGTCGACGATCGAGTACGTCGGTAACAAAGTCGAGACCAATGCCCTTCAATTTCATAGCCAGTAACCGATGTCCGGTTCAATTTGTCGGATTTGGCAACCACTGAGCCGTACGGGTCGACACCGACAGTCGGGCAGTACTTGTTTGACGCGTCTGGCAATTCCGGTAATTGAACCGCCAGTTCCGACACCGACAACAATCATGTCTAGTCGACGATCGGTTTGGTCGAGTATTTCCCGGGCAGTATATTTTTTTTTTGTTAACTCATTTTTTAATAATTTATTAGTTAATAAATTAATTAAAATTAAAAAAAAAATAAAATAAAATAAATAGATAAATACAGTAGTAGATTATATTAATGAACAATAATAAAATGATTGCATTATATTTGCAATCATTTTTGTTTGTTTGTTTAAAATAGTGTTTTAATTTTATTTTTTTATTTATAATAATTTATATTTTTAAAAAAAAAAAATATTTGTATCGATTACTAATACAGAAAGTTTAATTTTATAATTTTTAAATATATATATATATATATATATATTATATTTATAAATTATTTAGTTCATTATTTACATAATTTTTTTGAAACTAAATTATTATATTTAATTATATAAAATTTTTAAATTTAACATCACTACATTATATTGTATACCGGTATATATATAATACTATTAATAATGTATAATTTTTTTCATATATTTAATTATAAAAATACCTGTCTTAACATTTATAATTGAGTATTATTAATAGCTAATATAAAAACTTTTTTAAAAATATTTTTTAATTTATTAATAATAATAATTTTCTTATTGATTAAACTATTATTATTATTATTATTATTATTATTATTATTATTATTATTATTATTATTATTATTATTATTATTATTATTATTATTATTATTCATTAATAAATAATATATAAAAATTTTAAAAATTAATAATTATTTATCTAATTTTTTAATCTAATTTTGATCGATATCAATATTTTTTTTTGAAAATTTTGTTAATTTAAGTAATTATTTAAAATAGTAATTGTTTTTTAGCAAACATAATTTTATTTACATAAATTTTTGTACTAATTCTATATAAAAATTAATTTAAAAAAAATATTAACTTTAATTGAAAAAAATTATTGATAATATTTTTTGAGAAAACTAAATTAATTAAATTATAATTTTATAAAAAATATAATTAAGTATTATAATTATTAGTATTATTTATTTTTATAAATTAAATTATTTTTTTTAAATAATAAATTTTTTAGATTTTTTTTTAGTCGCAATCAACATACGATAGATTTGCAGAAATTATTGGAGAATTAATAAACTTAAGCCACGTTTCCCAGGGATTACATGCAAAATGTATGGGAACGGTATGTAATTTAGCTAAACATTTACAATAGTCGCCGACAACTATTAGCGGACTATCAAATCGGCGAACACCTGTCCTATTGGCCACAATTCCGCACATAAAAGCATCTTCGGGTAGTTGTATATATCTACTATCGGACGACGACTGGTCAAACACACTGTCCAATAGTCGATCGCGGCTCAGGTTGTCCATGAAATATGCCGAACCAGTCGGATATGACGGATATTCGGCCGGTTGGTAATACTCTTGAGGGACATACCATTTGCTTGTATTGTCGCGTACGACGTCCAACACATAGTTAAGTTGTCCGCCAATACCCGGCTCTCCCGTCGCCGATAACCCGGCCATCAGTTCAGGCAATACATCCAACAGTTTGTCTGCATTGACAAAGACGTCGTCATCCAATTTGAACAGTAATCTACTGTCCGGACAATACCTACGGTGCCAACCAAGGGTTGCAATGGTTTTCAATGTTAGATTTAAATAGTCATCCAGAAAACCAAATTGTATTAAATCGTGATAACTGTCCGCTTCTCCGGTCAGCAGCTCTTTATTATTATTATTATCATTACTATGACTACTGAGTCCCAAAACAAACCAGACATCAATCATGTTTTGTCGGACAGCACCCACCCATCCCTTCCGTAGCTGTTGTCTTCTCTGGTAATAACCGTTTCCATTGCCACTCATTATGAATATAGTGATGTTGTGCCCACCCCTACATACCATCGGATCAATTGTTACCAAACGTGTCAACTCAAGCGCCGGTGGTTTTCTGGGATTTACGGTTATTAACGGATCATCAGTTTGAACATTACTACTACTATTACTACTACTATAAGTACTACTAATAGTACTATCAATTGAATGTATATTTAAATTATTATTATTATTATTATTATTATTATCCAATATTTATGATAACAATCATATCTATGTTATTGTCGTACATATAATACATATGTATTGTATTGTCAATAAGCGATGATTTGGTACCCAATAAACACTATAATTAACAATACATTCAAACAATAAAATATTTTTAGAGACAGTAATAACGTTTGATATTATTATATAATCTAATCGATTGATTAGTACTATTTACAAGTGAGAGATAGTCTAAAATTTTTCAATTTTCCAGTATTGCATCATGGACATTTATTTTTGATTTTTTAATACATTTAGTAGTAAACATTGTAGAATAAAGTAGAAAAATAACATTAATAAAGTTAATACAATTATTTTTGATCTTTTTTGTTGAAAAATAAACAAATTAATAGAGTATTTAAAATTTTAAATATAATAATAACTAAATAATTAAGTTTTCCTATGTCTTCACTATTATTTTTTTAAGTATTTATTACCATGGTTTTTAAAAATGGCAGGCATAAATAATAGATGCCAATCATCTTAAGTATTTATTATCTTATCAATTATCTCTAATCTTTAATCTAATCACTTATCTAATCTTTTATCTAATCTTTAATCAAACATTGAATATCGAATATCGAATTATGAATATCGAAAATCCTATATTTTATATCGAATATAGAATACCGAATATCGAATATCGAATTCCGAATATCGAATATCGAATATCGAATACCGAATATCGAATTCCGAATATCGAATACCGAATATCGAATTATGAATATCGAAAATCCTATATTTTATATCGAATATAGAATACCGAATATCGAATATCGAATTCCGAATATCGAATACCGAATATCGAATTATGAATATCGAAAATCCTATATTTTATATCGAATATAGAATACCGAATATCGAATAGCGAATACCGAATATCGAATATCGAATACCGAATATCGAATTAGGAATATCGAGAATCCTATATCGTATTATGAATATCGAATATCGAATATCGAATATCGAAAATTGAATATCGAGAATCCTATATCGAATTATGAATATCGAAAATCCTATATTTTATATTGAATATAGAATACCGAATATCGAATATCGAATATCGAATATCGAATACCGAATATCGAATACCGAATACCGAATATCGAATACCGAATACCGAATATCGAATTCCGAATATCGAATATCGAAAATTGAATATCGAGAATCCTATATCGAATTATGAATATCGAAAATCCTATATTTTATATTTTATATCGAATATAGAATACCGAATACCGAATATCGAATATCGAATACCGAATATCGAATATCGAATACCGAATACCGAATACCGAATACCGAATACCGAATACCGAATATCGAATTAGGAATATCGAAAATCTAATACCAAATACCGAATATCGAATTCCGAATATCGAATTCCGAATATCGAATACCGAATATCGAATACCGAATACCGAATACCGAATACTGAATATCGAATTCCGAATATCGAATACCGAATACCGAAATCTGAATACCAAATATCGAATACCGAATACCGAATACCGAAATCTGAATACCAAATATCGAATATTGAATTAGGAATATCGAATACCGAATACCGAATATCGAATTAGGAATATCGAAAATCCTATATTTTATATCGAATATAGAATACCGAATACCGTATATCGAATACCGAATACCGAATACCGAATATCGAATATCGAATATCGAATATCGAATATAGAATATCGAATACCGAATATCGAATATTGAATATCGAGAATCCTATATCATATTATGAATATCGAAAATCCTATATTCTATATAGGATATAGAATATAGAATATCGAATATCAAATATCGTAAACCAAATACCGAATTCTGAATACCGAATATCGAATTAGGAATATCGAATATCCTATATTGAATATCGAATTATGAATATTGAAAATCCTATATCGTATATCGTATATCTTATATCGAATATTGAATATCAAATATATATTATTTAATATATACAAACCTAAATTAATAAATAGATTGTGTTAAATAATAGATGTACCCAATAGAAAATAGATTCTTATCTAATGGCAGAATTAGGGCAGTGCATTAAAAAAGTGTAATCGATTGTGCTGTCACTTTTATGCCTGTCATTTTTAAGACCCTGGTATGAAAACTTAAAAAAAGTAATAGTTAGTGAAGTATTTTATTCTATTTAGATATTATTAATAACAAAACAAAAATTGTATATAAATTACAATACATTTATATTACTTTTAAATAGTAAATATTTTTTATTTGACAAACATAAATTTATTTACAAATTTTTTTGTACTAATTCTATATAAAAATTTATTTTTTAAAAAAATTATTAACTTTAATTGAAATAATTATGGATAATTTTTATTTGGTTGAAAAAACAAAATTAATTTCTAAACAAAACTATAATTAGTATAGTAATTAAGTATTATTATTAGTAGTAGTATTTATTAATAAATAATATATAAAATTTTTATAAATTAAATTATTTTTTTTAAATAATAAATTTTTTAGATTTTTTTTAGTCGCAATCAACATACGATAGATTTGCAGAAATTATTGGAGAATTAATAAACTTAAGCCACGTTTCCCAGGGATTACATGCAAAATGTATGGGAACGGTATGTAATTTTGCTAAACATTTACAATAGTCGCCGACAACTATTAGCGGACTATCAAATCGGCGAACACCTGTCCTATTGGCCACAATTCCGCACATAAAAGCATCTTCGGGTAGTTGTATATATCTACTATCGGACGACGACTGGTCAAACACAGTGTCCAATAGTCGATCGCGGCTCAGGTTGTCCATGAAATATGCCGAACCAGTCGGATATGACGGATATTCGGCCGGTTGGTAATACTCTTGAGGGACATACCATTTGCTTGTATTGTCGCGTACGACGTCCAACACATAGTTAAGTTGTCCGCCAATACCCGGCTCTCCCGATGCCATCAGTTCAGGCAATACATCCAACAGTTTGTCTGCATTGACAAAGACGTCGTCATCCAATTTGAACAGTAATCTACTGTCCGGACAATACCTACGGTGCCAACCAAGGGTTGCAATGGTTTTCAATGTTAGATTTAAATAGTCATCCAGAAAACCAAATTGTATTAAATCGTGATAACTGTCCGCTTCTCCGGTCAGCAGCTCTTTATTATTATTATTATCATTACTATGACTACTGAGTCCCAAAACAAACCAGACATCAATCATGTTTTGTCGGACAGCACCCACCCATCCCTTCCGTAGCTGTTGTCTTCTCTGGTAATAACCGTTTCCATTGCCACTCATTATGAATATAGTGATGTTGTGCCCACCCCTACATACCATCGGATCAATTGTTACCAAACGGGTCAACTCAAGAGCCGGTGGTTTTTCAGGATTATTAACGGTTATTAACGGATCATCAGTTTGAACATTACTACTACTATTACTACTACTATAAGTACTACTAATAGTACTATCAATTGAATGTATATTTAAATTATTATTATTATTATTATTAGCATTACTACTATTTATATTATTTTTATTATTATTATTATTATTATTTATCGGATAATTGTAATTAGTTTTGTAGTTATGTATATTTGTTATATTATTTATAACATAAGTAATATTTTTAGCATTATTATTATTATGATTATTTGATATAATTTTATAAACTAATAAAATTGATATATTAATAAATGTTATTACAAATAGTGTTGCAAATAATAATTTATTAAATTGATTCATAATTGAATACTAATAACTGTATTTTTAATTTTATTAATTATTATTATTATTATTAACAAAAAATGTTTAATTTTTTTTTAAAAAATAAATAATAATCATAATAATCATAAGTTACTAAATCTATAGTTATCTAAAATTATATAGTTATCTAAATAAAAAATATTTTTAACCTGAATAAGTGTCTATATATATATATATAATAGATATTAAATTTTACTAAAAAAAATGTACTAGGATTGATATTAATAAAAATTACAAAAATTAACTGCAATCTAACATTATCAGATAATATATATATAATATATATATATATATATTGATATTTATTATTTAGTTTATTAGAAATTTTTATTTTAAGTTAAATAAACTTAAATAAGTGTTGAGATAAGTGTCTTAAAAAAAATATATAAATTACTAATAACTTGAAAGCAATATTTATTTTTTTTATCATTATTACAATAGTTGTTTTATTTTCATTATTATTATTATTATTTGTTGTAAATGTCATAATTTATGACTCATTAAACCTCAATAATAATTGATTTGCAATAATTGATAACAAAATTTTTTTTTTAGTTTTAAATTATTAGAGTATATATATATATCGTATGATAGTCTAAACAAAATTTTATTTTTTAAAACAGTATTAATATAATGTATAGAAATTTTTATAAAATAACATATAGTATATTATATATACAGTATATTTGTATATTATATCTTAAAATCTAATAAATTATTTTTCAATTGAACAAAAATAAAACAATTAATTATTATTATTATTTATACAATTAATACAATAAATAAATACATATACTGTATATAGTAAACAACAAACTGTATATAATTGTAAATATTTGATTATTTATAATAATTCAGATGAAAAAAAATGTTTTCATGGCATTTATTAAAAATTTATTAAAAGTTTGTATTAATTAAAAAAAAATCAATCATTAAATTTGAATTTAGTTTTTTATTCAATTAAGTTTTCATAAAAGTAAATTATTTTGATTATAAACTTATTATAAAATTTATACAACTATTTTACATATTATACTACAAACTATTTTTATTAGAAATCATAAATAAATAAAGTTTGTTTGATAAAAATAAGTTTTTATTAAAAAAATTTAACATTAGGGGTGGTTCGTATATTACGTTCGAACTTGAGGGGAGGGGGTTGGCCAAGGCTACTTTTGCAAACGAGGGGATGGGAAGGGAGTGGTAGAGACTTTAAAAACTTTCGTATTTAGATATTT